AGCAGGTAATCTAACGAAAGACTTAAAAATAAATCTTGACGCCATTTTCAGTCAAAGAGTGTTTTCATTTGACACCAACAAATGTGGATGAACTGAAAAACATAATTAACGATATGAAAAAACAGAATTCCTCGGGCGTTGATGGTCTATCTATAAAAAATTTTAAGAATCTCCCTGAAACAGCACTTAATAGTCTTACTGATGTATAAATCAGTCTTTCACAGCGGGAATGTTTCCGGACTGTTTAAAACTTGCCGTGATTATTCCAGTTTTTAAGGGAGGCGACGAAACAGACCCTTCTAACTATCGCCCGATTTCTCTGCTGACAACTCTATCAAAGATAGTCGAGAAGATTGTCAAGATTAGGCTCTTGGAGTATTTGAAGGGAAACAACATATTGCATCCAGAGCAGTTTGGTTTCCAAGAAAAGAAAGGAACGCACGATGCCATTTTTATGTTTCTTGAAAATCTTTTTCTGGGAATGATGGAGAAAGGGCCGCGGCAGTATTCTGTGATTTCTCTAAGGCGTTTGACTGCGTGGATCACGGGATACTGCTGAGGAAGCTTGATCACTATGGTATTAGGGGGAAGGAATTGGATTGGTTCGGGTCGTACCTTGAGGGAAGAAGTCAGTTCGTTAGAGCACAAAACAAAGACTCTGAAAGAAAAAGAATAACCTATGGTGTACCTCAGGGATCTGTACTTGGACCAATACTTTTCTTAGTCTATATAAACGACTTAGCAGACCTGCCCATTGGAGGTCTTTTTGTGATTTTCTGCGACGATACTACCATTCTATGGAAAAACAAAAACGCCGCAGTTCTTGCGGAAATTATGGAAAGGGAATTACTGTTGGTTCAGGAGTGGTGTGCTTGTAATCGTCTGGTGTTTAATGTGTCGAAAACAAGTATTGTAACATTTAAATGTAGCATTGAAAATATTTCACTAGATGAAAATGTTATCGCAGAGAAAAAAACAGCTAAATTTCTTGGATTGCACATAGATTCGAAGCTGCGATTCGACAAACACATAGATTTATTGAATATGAAACTTTCACAAGGGTGTTATATAGTTAAATCTATAGCACATGAACTGGGTAAGCATGCCGCGAAAACAACATATCATGCACTGATCGAATCGCATCTTCGCTATGGAATAGCATTCTGGGGGTTTTCCACTCAAAACTCTATTCAATCGGTGTTTGTACTACAAAAAAGAGCAGTTAGATATATTTGCCATGCAGGATACAGACAGAGCTGCAGACCACTTTTTAAACCGGAGAGAATTTTGACAGTTCCCTGCATATTCCTTTTGGAAACGGCCTGTCTAATATTTAAAAAATTTAAAAATAATGATACAGTGAGAGACACTGGTTACAACCTACGCAACCAAAATTTTCCATTACCCATTCCGAAATTTGCCTTAACGAAAAATTCTATTATATATAAGAGCATTAAGATCTTCAACAAGCTGCCAGACGTAATAAAGGGTGTGGAGGACTATGGACAATTTAGAAAAACTTTAAAGAGATTTCTGGAAACCAAAGCCTATTACATTCTTGGGGAATTCTACTCAGACTAATCTTTTAATCTTTTACTGTGATCTTTAAACTGTGATATTTTCAATTTTTCAATTAATAAATTATTTATTCTTAATAGGCCTTAACTGATTCATGTAGTGTTTGACTTTATTTATAGTGATGATTGTTTTTTGAAAATTTTGCTACCATCCCGCTCTTACTCGTCGGTTCTGTGTTGGATTTGCTGAGGTATCTGGACGCTATCAAATCTAGCCTATTATAATGTTCTTTTATTTATGTTGTAAACTGTTCAGGTGTTGTTGATTGTATATAGAATTCTCACTGTTATTTTATTGCTTGTCTTTCTAGTTTTTTGTCTTATTTTTACTCTCAACACTGACATCTAAATTTTAACTTAGTATACATTTTTAGGATATAGGAAATTAATTTAAGACTTTTTTTTTTTTTTTTGGCTTTGTCAATGGAATTTGTATAATTTTTTGGACAATAAAGCTTTTTTGATTTGATTTGATTTGATTTAATTCTGAGCAGTCCTGTATGTTGTCAATAATTCTAAAAATTTTCAGATCATCAGCAAACAGTACACAGTTAGATGAGATAGTGTCAGTCGAGGTGTCAGTGATATCATTCACAAATATAGCGAATATTAGAGGAGCTAAATTGCTTTCCTGAGGAGCGCCACTTGAAGCGCTGAAGTCGGCAGAACGAAAACCGTTGTACTCCACAAACTGTGTTCGCCCACTCGAATATGAGATAAATATTTAGATTTACCAGGTTCCTATGAAACCCAATGTTGTACATTTTCTGGGCAACGAGACCATGATCCAACTTATCGAAGGCCTTCGAAAAGTCAGTATATATGACGTCAAGTTGTTTCCTATTATTGATAGCAAGATAAGCTTTTTGTAGGAAACTTGTAAGATTTGTGACAGTTGATCTCTGTGGAAAGAAGCCATGTTGAGTAGGAGATATTAGGTTTTTAACTTGATGGAAGAGACTGTTGTGAATACAGATTTCAAAGGCCTTCAAAAAGTTGGACAGTATGGAGATAGGTCGATAGTTAGTGATATTATATTTAATTTGAGGTAAAGTGGCGCTTCACTTGCGTAATGCGGCGAACCGCCACTGACACATTTCTATTTAGGTATCTCTTGCCTGTGTGGGGTCTGTGGGGATGTTAATCTTCATAAAGCACAAATATTGCAAAAGAACATGCTTGAAATATTATTCAATTATGATTGGCTCATTATAGCACAAATATAGTTTATTCAAATAGGTGCCTTGTTAAGTGACAATAGAACAGTGCAAACTTACCTTTCAAGCACTGTACCTATTGGTTTATATTGTTATTCTCGAGGTTGATTTGCGATTTTTTCACAGTAGTTCATTTTGTTGTATTAAATGTTGTTTGTTCAAGTTTGCTAAATAAACAGTACTTCAAAAACAAAATGTAAGGAAAAAGAACAGCTGCGTTTTATCCTTATCCATCTAAAGTTAAAATTCAAGTCAACCTAAATCTTGGTAGAAGGGAACTCAGAATGGAATCAATGGAGGTCAACGCTATGTTAAGATAGGGTCATTTCACTGGTTAACCGGCCATCACCGGTTCTCGGCCATTTTTCCGTTTAATGTTGAAAAATAAGAAAACTACAGCTCGTATACATATTCTCGATGCTTATCTGACTCTCTGTATCTTTCTCGTACCCATATGACTTTGGGTGTTATTAGGGGTGCAATTGGTTTAGACTTGAAAAATCATTTAGTAGAGGTCTACTCAAGTCGCGAGTACGACGTTTGTTATTCTTCAAAAGTGCTTAGTGATGTTTGAGCAGAAAATAGTAAATATTTCAACATTTTTATGTTAGAAATGTATGGAAAGTGTTTTTACTTATAGGAATATATTTTACCTTCATAATTTTATGAGAAAATCTTATTTAAACTATTTTTTTTCATGAAATTTCAGGCGGCCGGAAAGTAGTATTGAAAAAAACACGTATTTTAGTTCTCGGCCATGCGGCCGAGAATCATATACTTGCTTAATGTTTCTATTTTGAATTCATTCAGATTATGTAAATAGTTAATACATAATAAAATTTTTAACAGGTACATTTGGATATCTCCTTTTTATATATTAGTTTGCGGCCGTCAAATATTACATAAAATAATGTTTGTTTCGAACTTCAATTTTCATAAATATTCAGGGGCCGAGAACTACCTTATCTCGGCCACTACTAGAGTTCAGTGGCCGAGAACCCATGGATCCATATATTTTGTGTGTTTCAATTGTCGGCCATTATAAAATTCCTGATTGCATGTTCAATGCAGTAGGTACCTGTACCACCTACCTTACCAAAGTTAAAGTACCCATCATTTAAGATAACTCAGAGACCTAAACAATTTTGCTAAAAGAAAAGTTTTTGTTTCTGTCTTTTTTAGTGGCTCCCACAAAAAAAAAGTGCAAGTTCCAAGAAAAAAACAACTGTCAGACCCAATGCAAGACCGGCTCACTGGTCGAGTTCTTGATGAGCTGAGGAAACTAGGACCACAGCCTCTATTAACTGAAGAAGGCAAAAAAAATATTAAAGAATGGGTGATTAAGCTTTCCAAATGTGGATTTCCCTTTAAAAAGAACATGTTGTTGGAGACTGTATCGAAAATTAATGTAGAATCTGGCCTGAACTTATTTAAAGGAGGTATGCTGAAGCAAACTTGGTACTCTAACTTCATGAGAAGAAACCCAGAAATCTCTTTGAGAGAAGCAGAAGGCATCAATAAAGCTCGTGCAGTTGTGTGGATGGGTTCTAGGCAAATCTGAGAAAGGCTGGATGACATCAGACGTCTTTTTCGAATAGGTACCTACCTGGAATTTGTATGGCCGAGAACTGATATAAAATTGGCCGAGATCTGCGGCGAGTAACCGAGAACCAAAAAAATTACGTTTTTTTAATTTTTCTTTTTTTTTCGCTTTTTGTATTTAGAGCATGGTTTAGACGACTAATTTTTGATAAAAAACATTCCAAAGATTTACTTAATATCCTCACATTGTTGATCCAATACTTTTTTCCATATTAACTACACCTCCAAAGTCGAAATCTTACTTAGCAGGCCGAGAACCAGTGAAATGACCCTAACAGATTACTAAATTTATCAAGAGTCCAGACCATGTAAAAAGAGATAATTACTTACTACTGCCAGGATTAGTAGGATTAACCAATTACCTAATTTTAATTTGTAAAAATATCAATTTTCATTGCATCATTGCAATAATATGAGCATTGGTGAACTGGGTAAACGCCTCCTTTTTTAGGAAATGATAATTGATACAAGTTTTTTATCTGCTTGTTTATATGATTGTTACCTGGATAATTACACTTGCCTATCAACCTGAAAAAGCCTATCAAGATTCTGTAAATTGCTAGTGTCTGTTTCAAACATGAAATAATATAAAGTCAGAACTTACGTCTTATGCGGGAGCCCCAAAAGAAGTACAACCACTGGATAATTCACTCGGCATAATCACTAATAAGCAGAGAAATCACAAATCAAGTTCTTCCCATTTCCACACAACCAAACACACCAGACAACTTATTTTTATTTTAGACAAACAAAAATCGGCTCAAAAAAGTACTGCCCTGAGAAAATGATTGAACCTCCGTAATGTTTACAAGAATACAAGCACTTCCTTCTTGTCGAGGGTCGAGTTCACGAGATTTCTTTTTTGATTTGCCGCCAGACAGTCGCCTCTCGCTTCGCCGCGTCTCGTCATTCAGTCAGTCGCCACTCGCCAGCCCATACCCAGCAACTAGCCTCAGGCTTCTGCTAGTTCAGTTGTGGTACAAGTAAAACAGTAAAAAATTCAGAGAAAGAGCAAATAGATACCCACTAATCCAAAAAGTATTTCACAGATTTCAGCCAATCCGAGAACAGCCGGGGTGCGTTCAAGGGCGGCAATGCTAATTCCAAAACCTACTTTTCCCCTTCCGCCGGTAATGCCGAACCACATAGGTTGGAGCCGAACTCGAACGCAAAATGCCAATTTTGGCTTGGCTGTAGCCATTCCTGAACGCTGCCGCCGACCGAACAACTAGAACAGTCGGTTCGAGAACAGAAATCCGAGTCGAGTACTCCGAGTTGATCGAATGGAACGTGTGGTGGGTGGTGTTGTGTAGGGTTCACACTTTTGCATATTTCGGACAAAAAGCAAAAGTTCCAAGTCCCCCCCCTAGAGCTCAACTGAACTACACATTAGTACACACAGAACTTGGACATTGGACTGCACAACCGGACCTTAAGCTGTTTGATTACTTATTTGGAGAAATCAACTATTAATCAACATGGGTAGGGCTGCCATTTATGAAATTTGTTACCTAGGATAATTTTTACAAAAACCCCGGATTCTAACCCTTCAAACCCGGACACCACTAAAGGGTAGCCCACCTTAGGCGCCGCCAGAGGCAGAAGATTTTTTTTGGGTGCCACGCCCAAAAAAGGTAATTTCAAGCCTTCGAGAACCACTTATTATTTTGACAAAAAAATCATTTTTTTGGGGTTTTTTATAGCTTTCACCGAGCTCCAAACATGACTAACGACACGTGAACGTGAAATCTGAGTCGCGCACACGCGTGCTAAATAAAAGTAATGATGTTCGATTGACGATTTCCATAATTCTTGTCAATTTCGCGGAGCTATTCGTGATTTTTTTCAAGATGCCGTAAAGCGTAAAACACGGACAATTTCAAAAAATCCCCCCGGACGCCTTTAAAACTAGGACAAATCCGGGGAAATCCGGACGGATGGCAGCCCTAAACATGGTACATTTGAGTTGTTGTGGAGTTAGCAGTTCATAGCACTTTTCACTCGGTTCTCGGTTCCCGCAAAATAAAGCCTAGTACTCATAACTGCGAAATTCGCACTTTTTTGACATTGCTTTGACAATTTGACGTTTTATGCGTGTATCAAACGTCAAATTGTCGAAGCAATGTCAAAAAGAAGCGAATTTCGCAGTTATGAATACTAGGCTTAATGGAGGACTGTTCTATACTAGTTCTGAAGCAATTCGTAACCAAAAAAACCGAAACGAGCCGCAAATCACGAAATTCGGAAACAGTTCTTCCTTCAGAGTAAGAACTGAGAGAACCGTTCTAGAACAATCCCAGAATTGTTCTTGTATAGTTCTAAAAATCGAAAACGATGTCAACACAGTTCGATTACGATTCCGAAAAAACGAAACATGCGCACGTGTAGAATGGAATGATTCCGAATTAGCTCTGAGCTAAACCTACACAAAGCGTCAGCAGCGCATGCATATTTCAAGAATGCTTTTGTCCTCTGGATTCTGTCTGTAATGGCCGTTTGCACCGACTATTTTGAGGGAAATAATCAACTCTTAAGTCAAGGATGATACACACCTACAAGGATTGCTTATCGGCCTCGTTTTTGGTAATCGCCGCCATAATAGAAAGTTCTCGTGCGTCAGACGCTACGCTAATACGGTACCGCTAATAATACGGTATTTCACATGGTAATTTATAGTTCTCGGGCACGAAGACACATAAATCCTCTAATAATCCCTTACCCTGTTTACATTTTGATAGTTGAGTTGAGTAATCTAACCCCACTTTTTTGCTTCTTTTCTAACTTTTGTTTATTCTGAAGATTCCTGAGCTTGATTAATTTTCCCTTGGTGTTTTTTATGGAGAAATTATTAGAAGTTTCTGTTTTTGCAGACACAAATGAAGCGTAAACTAGTTCTGACATAGCATATCGTTACGGTAAGGCATCCGGTAAGTTCCGTTAGATAACGGGCTCCGCTAACGCTAATACCGTAAAAACTGTAATTCTTGTCAAATAGCGTTACGGTATTTGAAATTTGGACGGCACGAGAACTCTCTATTGGTGTGTTACCATTTCCGCGTCTGCAGCACTTAGGAATGCTATCTTAACAACAAAGCAACAAAATGAGTTTGAGGCAACTCAACATTATTTAATAAGGAAAAGAATTTGAAGAAAGCATTTTCTCACACAGAAATAGTATTACGTATGATTCTATACACTGCAGTAAACTGACTTCCAGTGTTTCTTTTTTTTTTAAATTTTGTTTCATTATTCATTTTTGTTTAACTATAGGGCGGCAAGCCTTATAGGCCCAGGGCGCCAAATTTTAAAATACACCACTGGGTTTTCACATTTGGTCTCCGGTCTCCGGATTACTAGGTGTTTTCTACGGGTAAAACCGCATTTGACAAAAAAAACGCAATAAAAAAAAAAACGTAGAAATAATTCTTATTGTCTTTGGTCCAGGAAAAAAAATAAGCTTTATCAACAGGGCAATACTGTTCCTGCACTCCCTCACGGATATTACCAAAGTTTAATATTACACACTACGACACTACTACAGGATTCCTCATCGGCCTCGATTTTTGGAATCAAGGTCATATGTCATATGGTGTTGCACCGTTGTCGACGTCATCAACGGTGTCGTTAACTGTTTGCGCCAGCGGTCGTAGTTTAAAATATACATTTATACAAGTAAAATGAAGACAGGGTCTCCATCTTGTATCTCCATACTTGTATCAAACCCAGTTCCGGGATGGAACCAAAAATGGGTTGTGTTTTCTCTCTGCGGGACCTAAACCGTGCTGATGAGCTGTGATACAGCGAAACGCGTCCACGGATGGTCTTGCAGAGATAAAACACTTCTCAATCGGTCCTTAATTGGGCCGTTACCTAATTAATATACATTTATGATGAAAAATATTATTTAATTTTGATAACATAATAGGCGAAAAGGAAGATGCAAACAAAATCTAATAAAGGTTGTTTTAGAAGGTTGCTTGTACTAAAACCAAGTAGGTACGCATAAAGCCAAAGTCAACGGAATCATAGCCTGTAGTGCAAACACCCTACGTCAAGGCGAGGAACGACACGCTATCTAGGTCATCACTGGTACTTTGGCGTGGTGGGGTCTTGAGATTTGATCTACAGAGGCCATATGCGCCATGCGGATAGGCTACCTTATGGTTGTCCTATCCCGTGTAGTGTGTAATATCCTTCGATCTCCCTCTCCAACCGTCTCAACTCCCAACCTGAAGCATCATCCGGTGATGCCGAGGGGAACTTGTGTATAGATAGAGTGTACCTGATGCATCTGCTATCAGATTTGTAGGATTTTTTTTTCAATAAGGGTTTTTTTTCTCCGGTTCAACTTACTTTCAAAGGTGGCATCCCTAAGTGTGTATCATCCTTGCTCTCAAGTGACATTTTCATTTTTACAAAAATCATCACTACGTTCACTATCGAATTATCGTTAAACCTGCCTTTAAATGGTGGACGCGTTCTTTTTTCCATCAGAAATTCACCAGGTGAAAATATGATGCCACCAAAGCGTTCTATTCTTAGAGCAGGAAAGCGCTGTCCTACCCACAACCCACTACTAAGGAGTAGGAACGCGCCATTCTGCTTATGAAACTAAAGTGAAGCCAAGTTTTTGGCAGGTGTTTGGCACCAAGATACAGAAAATACCTGAAAAAAAACGGCTTCATTTTCCAAATCCAGGTTACTACACCTCTTTACCTTTACCTGCTCTAAGGTTCTTTTATTGATGGTGGAAATATGATGACCCACCACACCACATCGCGATCTTATTTAACTGGTGAATTTATGGTGGATTTCATCCGGTGGAAACCTGATGCAACCAAGGTCCAACAGAAATTTTCTGTGATTACTCTGGGTCGGTGCAAACCAAGAATAATACACACTACTACTACAGGATAGCCTATTCTCATAAGGCCTGTCCTGTGTGGAACAAATCTGAAGCCCTCTACCACGCCAAATCACCTATTACCTAAAGTCTGTTTTTTTTTTAAAGATAATTCCTCAAGTCAAAAATTTAGTAACTATGTTGGCAACACAAGCCTTTTCTTCATAAAAAATTTGAGAGCATTGACAATTTCACGTATTGCCAACATAATGTCATATTGACTTTTATCTTTTAAAAAAAAGAGGCTTTAAGAATAATAATGGCTTATCGGCCTCGTTTTTAGTAATCGCCGCCATATTGGTGTGTCACAATTTCCGACGTCATAACTAAGTCGTCAGCTGTTTGCACTAGCCGTCGTACTTTAGAATTTAAATTTTTGGAGAAAATTTATTATTTAATTTTGATTAATATTAGGTCTGCGTCTGTTTCTGCAGAAATCACAAACCAGTCAGAGTGAATTTCATTGGTTGAAACTAGTTTTATGACTGTTTTCAACCAATGAAATTCGCTCTGACTGGTTTGTGATTTCTGCAGAAACAGACCTATAATATGCAAAGAGGAAGCTGAAAACGAGATCTAAAAAAGAGCTGTTTTACAATTTTATTAATGTAGTAAGACCAAGTATGCATAAAGCAAAAGCCCGCGAAATCATAACTTGTAGTGCAAACAGCCTACGTCAAGGCGAGAAAGTACATGCTGCCTACGTCACAAATGGTGATTTGAAGTGGTGGGGGACTTCAGATTTGTTCTACACAGAACAGGCCTTAGGAGGATAGGCTATCGTAGTAGTAGTGTGTATTATCCTTGGGGACCGTGGGCTGTTTGCACCACAGGTTTCAAATTCTAAACTGCGACCGCTAGTGCAAACAGCTGACGACTTATTTAATGATGTCGGAAATGGTGACACACCAAATGCCGGCGATTCCCAAAAACCAGGCCACTAAGCAAAAGTGTCTATCATACAATGCTATTAAATTATCCTTGGGTGCAAACGGCCATAACTTTTGAAGTTTCCTTTTATCTCTAGGCTCGGTTGCCGGTTGACGGTTGTTCCAAATATTGATTCAGGGTTGCGTTCGAGAACCTAGTGTGTCGTATAAAAATCATACAGCTGCCGTTC